CAGATTTGTGGTCTCTCCGCGAATGGGCACCTGGAGCGGCGCCTCAGTCGATCGCAGCGTACGCGGCCGCGGTGAGCTGGCGTGCGGCCCGCAGCACCATCCCATCATATCACACCTGGAGGACGGAGCTCGAGGAGGCCTCCTGGCAGGGAAACACACTCACCCGCCACGTCCGAGACCTCTGGAGCCCGCCGTTCTGGCGCGACCAGCGCGCTGTAGTTCAATTCCTGCACGAGCGCGTGCACTCAATCGCGCTCCCGAAGGTCCCCTCCGCCCCCCAACGTGTTGCCGCTGCCGAGGCTGAGCAAGCAGCCGCAATTGCTGAGACGCTGCAAAAGCGTCCGAAGTTGCAGGGGGTGTACGCTCGTTCCCTCACCCGTGAATTGTACCCCGATCGCCTGCACCTGACGCTGCAGAAGCGCGTGCAGGCCTGGTATCCTGATTCATCTTTCCCCCCCCTGGCCCCTCGCTGGCCTGCTTTAAAAGCCATCCTGGCCAAAAGCCGCCCTGCCCTTTTCTGGTCCGTCCTCAAAACCTTGGCGGGCGGGTGGATCACGACCCACCGCATGCATATCCTGGGCCAGCGAGGATGTGTTCTAGGGTGCGAGGGGATGCCTGATTCGATTTCGCACTACCTCTCCTGTCCTCGTCTCCTTCACCTCGTTGCCTTTCCTCGCTCCTTCCTTCCTGACTCTGTCATCGTGCGTCTTGGTCTCGGTGAGGAGGCCGAATACACAGGGGAGACCTCTCGGGAGCGCGCAGTCTTTCTTCTAGCGCTCGCGTTCAAAGTTTACCACACGCTCAGGGTGCGACCGAATGGATCGCCCTCGCCTTCACTTTACAAAGAGCACCTTGAGGTGCTGGCTGCAGCGAGACGCTCGCTCACTGCCTGAGAAGCTGACACGTGGCGCGCCAAGCTACGTGCGATCATCATCATCATCATCATCAGCATCACCACTACCAGCATATCCACCACCACCACCACCAGATTCATCAGCATCAGCATCATCAGCACCAGCATCATCAGCATCATCAGCAGCAGCATCATCATCCTCATCCTCATCCTCATCCTCATCATCATCAGTACCATCATCAGCATCATCAGCAGCACCATCATCATCAGCATCATCGTCGTCCTCCTCATCATCATCATCATCATCATCATCATCAGCAGCATCAGCAGCAGCAGCATCAGCATCAGCATCAGCATCATCACCATCATCAGCATCATCATCATCAGCAGCAGCATCATTCCCTCCCACCTTCATCCTGTCCTCATCCCTCCCTCCGTCCGGCCGTCCCTCCCTCCCGCACTCCCTCGTCGTCCTCCGCCTCTTCCTCGTCATCTTTCTCCTCATCATCCTCATCATCCTAGTCCTCCTTCTCCCTCTCCTCCTCCTCCCCTTCTTCTTCCTTCCTCATCATATTTCTCCTCGTCATCATTTTCCTCATCATCTTCCTCCTCCTCCGCCCAATACTCCGTCATCCTCCTCCTCGTCCTCCTCCTCCTCCTCTCCCTCCGTCGCTCCCCTCCGTCGCTCCCTCCCTCACTCCCTCCCTTCTCCTCCTCCTCCTCCTCCTCCTTGTCCTCCTCCTCCTGGTTCTTCTCATCTTCCTCCTCCTTCTCCTCCTCCTCCTCCTCCTCCTCTTCTTCTTCCTCCTCATCCTCCCTCCTCCCTCTGTCCCTCCCTCCCGCCCGCCCGCCCTCCTCCTCTTCCTCCTCCTCCTCCTCCTCCTCCTTCCTCCTCGTCCTCCTCCTCCTCCTCCTCCTCGCCCTCTTTCCTCTCTCCGCCATTTCCTCTCATCTTCATCCTCCTCCTCGTCCTCCTTCTCCTTCTCCTCCTGATCCTCTCTCCTCCCTCCTCCACCCATCTATCCTTCCATTCCTCCATTCCTCCTCCTCCTCCTCCTCCTCCTCCTTCTCCTTTCCCTCCTTCTCCTTCTCCTCCTGCTCCTCCTGCTCCTCCTGCTCCTCCTGCTCCTCCGTCTCCACTCCACTCCTCCTACTCCTCCCTTCTCCTCCTCCCACCTCCTCCTCCTCCTCCTCCTCCTCCTCCGCCTCCTCCTCCTCCTCCTCCTCCTCCTCCCTCCTCCCTCCCCCCTCCTCCTCCATGTTCCTCCATGCTCCGCCATGCTCCTCCATGCTCCTCCATGCTCCTCCTCCTCCTCCTCCTCCTCCTCTTTCTCCTTCTCCTCCTCCTCCCCTTTTCCTTCTCCTTCTCCTCCTTCTCCTCCTGATTTTCCTGGTTCTCCTGCGTCTCCCCCCCTCCACAATTACTCAATATTAACACTACTCTCCCTCTTCCCCTGATGACGGTTTGAAAGTGGCCGACCCCCCCCCCGCGTATTGTTTTTTTACACAGGTTTCCCCGGAGTTGGGTTTTCGCCTGCATTTGTTTCAAAATGCTGCTCTCGTTGAGGCGCCGGCCTCATGTTCGGGCCCCGCTCGTTCCGAGTCGTGCTCTCGCTGCAGCGCTGGCCTCATTTTCGTGCTTCCGCTCGTTCCGAATCGTGCTCCCGCTGCAGCGGTGGCCTCATTTCCGCGCTTCCGCTCGTTTCGACTCGTGCTCCCGCTGCAGCGCTGGCGTCATTTCCCGTGCCATGCCACGGCATGCAATGCAATGTTAGGTTGATACTACGCTTTGCGGTGCTCTTCTACGCCATGCCATGCCGTGCTCTACAATGCATCGCGTACCCTTTCGGGATCATTGCCCTGCTCGACATCCGACTGAGCGAGTAGAGAGGGATCTGCGCCATGGTAAGGGATGGGAGGGAGGGGTAGGATGTCAGATATGACGCGAGCGCACCTAGCTTGTCCTCCTCCCCCTCCTTCTCCCTCCTCCGCCCCTCCTCCTCCTCCCTTCTCCTCCTCCTCCTCCTCCCTCCTCCCCTCCTCCTCCTCCCCTCCTCCTCTCCTCCCTCCTCCACCTCCTCCTCCTCCTTCCTCCTCCTCCCTCCCCCTCCCCCTCCCCCTCCTCCTCCTCCTCCTCCTCCTCCTCCCCTCCTCATCGGTCATCATCATCATCATCATCATCATCATCATCATCATCATCATCAGCATCATCATCATCATCATCATCATCGTCATCATCATCATCAGCATCATCATCATCATTAACATCATCGTCCCTTTTTGCCTCCCACGCCTCATCCTCCTCGCCCTCATCCTCCTCCTCATCATCATCATCAGCATCCTCATCATCATTATCATCATCAGCATCATCATCATCAGTATCATCATCATCATCATCATCATCATCATCATCATCATCATCATCTTCATCATCGTCATCATCGTCATCATCATCAGCATCATCTTCATATTCATCTTCATCTTCAGATCCATCTTCAGCAGCAGCATCATCATCAGCAGCATCATCATCTCACCCCCTTCCTCCCTCCTCCCTTCTCCGTCCCCTCTCCTCCCTCCCACCTCCTCCCCCTCCTCCTCCTCCTCCTCCTTTCCTCAACCTCCTCACCTCCGCCTTCTCCTCCTCCTCCTCATCCTCCTCCTCGTCCTCGTCCTCCCCCTCCTCCTCCTTCTCCTCTGCCTCTCCGACGTTGCGAGGAAGCTGAACATATGCAAAATCACAGCCTGAGCCTTAGACCCCATCCTTCTGTTCGCATGTTTCGAGCCAGATTGGTTTGTGATGGACCGAGCCGCGACGGCACGAGCAAAGCAGCACAGAAGATTTGCAAAGGTTGTCAGCCGCCGGGAGCACTGAATGGCGATTGTCTCGTGAGTCCGCCTGCGCGTCGCATGTTGAGGCCGCGGCCTTTCACGGCATGCCCCAGTGGTCACCGACGGGCCGCCCTGAAGACCATGCACGACTCCAGCGCTCGCTTCGCTTCGCATCGATCCCTCCCTCCCCCACGCCCCCCCCGGGAGGTGTGCCCTCTCGAGGCCCCCTCCTCGCTCCCCCTGCTGCTCCTGTCTCTGTTGTTCATCCCTCCTCCTCCTCCGGATCTCGGGGCCTCGTCCTCCTCCCGCTCCCCCCCTTCCGGGAGGTGTGCCCCGTCGAGGCCCCGCCCGACCAGCCCGTGGAGTGCCCCGAGGGCCACTACCTCACGGGCCGCTCGGAGTGCGAGGAGTGGGCGGCGATGTCTGTACACATCCACTGCCGCCTGGCGGGGCCCTTCCTGGGCCCAGGGGCTGTGCATACGCCCTCCTGGCCAAGCCCAGAGGGCGTGGCGTATACACCGCTGCCGGGTTCAGGATGGGCCTCGCCAGGGAGCAGTGGATAGAGTGGAAGCCCATGCCGAGAAGCACCCTGCTTGCCTCCAGGACTCCAGGGTGCCCTGGGTTTCTTGGGTTTCGATGGTTTTGCTGTGGAAAGCGTGACGCTCCCGCACCAAAAATCAATGGACGTCCTGGGTGCTCAGGGTTGGGTTTCTTGTGGAAGGTTTCGTGTGGTCGATCCCCTGCTGTATAGATTTCGTCTCCACAGGAGTGCACCAACGGCGCCACGCGCCGGCGGCGCTCCTTCGAGTGCTCTGCGTGCCCCGCCGGGACGTTTGACGCCGGGCACTCCGACGACTGCCTGTGTGGCCTCTTCACCACCCAGGACCTCGGAGGAGGGACAGGCAACCCAGAGAAGGGCGATCTGAGGCAGCGGTGGTTAGCCTTCGGGGGGGCCCCTCGTCGCCATGGCTGGACGCAGCTCGGAAAACTGGTGCGTGTGGACTCCAGGGGGGGGGTCGGGAAGCGAGTTTGAGCTGCCGTTGCCTCAACTCGACCTGCTCCGAGTACCGATTTCGCTATCCTTGCGTCGTTTTTTCCCCAAGGAAGGACGACGGCACAACCACAAACTATCGGAGCTCCGCGCGGAGTTCTTGGATCCAAGAAATCCGTGATCCGTGGGGAGCTGCGAAAATTCATGTTCACTCATGTTTTGTTCATTCTAGGACCACTTCAGTGGGAACGCGACGCTGCACATCAGCTCGGCTGACGGCTTCCACGTCGACGACCGCCTCATCGTCAGCGGGGACGTCAACGGGACCACGGAGTGGGAGAGCGTCTTCATCACTGCGATCTCGGGCAACCAGATTACCCTCGGCGGTGGGCTCAGGTACAGGGCTCGACCTAAACGGTGTTTTGGCGACCTCGTGGACCGTTTTCGTTTCGGCTTCGTTTTGCGGCAAAGGGTTGAGCGAGGACAGAACGAGGGAGAACGAACGCAACACGAGGAGGCAACACGCTGTTTGAACTGTTTGGATCGACCCCTGCTCAGGTATTCGTTTCCGAAGTACAGCAATGTCCACATTCAGTGCACCATCACGGATGGGAGCGACCTGAGCTTCAAGTACCGCAGCTCGCAGTGCGGCGGGGAGGTCAAGCAGTGCGGGTGTGGCGCCGTCGCGTGCTCTCACACGACGAAGGCCCTTTATCTTTTCCGTGCTCCACCTCCTGATCAGTTTACTGTTCTTTTCCCTCCTCCTACCCCAGCTCCATGCGCTCTCGCTCTCTCTATCCCCTTCCCTCCCCTCCTGCCTGCCTGCCTCCTTCTCGTCCTCCCGCTTCTCTCGTATTCCTCCTCTTCCTCCTGAGCTCATGCCCTTCTCGGTCCTGTTGCCGATGCGTCTGCTGTTTGTCCTCCTCTCCCTCATTTCTCCCCCCTTCCCCAGGGCACTGGGACAGAAACTGTAGGTCATGCATGAATTCGCACGAGCACTGCCCGAGAGCCAGCAGCTTCGATAGAGAGCAATCACACTTGTCGTCAGAGGCTGAGCGCATCCGCTCATTGACAGCGCATGTATGCCTGAATCGATCCAGTCGCGTTCTTGAGCAAAGACCAGCACCATAACTTAGTCTGAAGTAATGTTCCCATCCTCCTCCTCCCTCCCTCCTCCTCTTCCTCCTTCCTCCTCCCTCCTCCTTCTCCTCCTCCTCCTCCTCCTTCTCCTCCCCCTCCTCCTCCTCATCCTCCTCCTCCTCCTCCAACGTCCTCCTCCTCCTCCTCGTCCTCCTTTCCTCCTCGTCCTCCTCCTCGTCCTCCTCCTTTCCTCCTCCTCCTCCTCCTCCTCCCTCCTCCCTCCTCCTCCCTCTTCCTCCTCCTCCTCCTCCTCCTCAGAGGTCCTCACTCTCTCCTCCTCCTCCTCCTCCTCCTCCTCCTCCTCCTCCTCCACTCCTCCACTGGGCTCTACTCCTCCTCCTCCTCCCCTCCTTCCGCCGCCTGTCCTGGAGGTTGAAGGGAAGGAGAGAGAAAGAGAGAGAGAGAGACAAACAAAAAAAAATCAAGAGCACTCCCGAACAGCAAAAAGAGTGAGGACAAAGGGGACAGAGAAGCGCCGCGGCCTGCCGTAGCTGGACACCGCACCCGTTGGAGACGGGGGTCGAGCAGCACAGGACGCGGGGCCACAGCCTCTGGAGCGCCTCCCCGTTCTTGGACACGCCTATCGCTCCAGAGGGTCGTTTCAAAGGCGCTGCAGGCAAGGAGGTTAGAGTCGGCCCAGATTAGTAGGTCGACCCTCCCAAATCAAGAGTGCCCTCGTGTCCTGTATCTCGCGACCCATGCCTCCTACATTATTATGGTAATGAGGTCCTTGGAAGGGTCTCGTGTCCTCTCGCGCGTCCTGTCCAATCAAGTCCGACTGTACACAATAACGGGGGACAGGTCCCCAGCACGCCCAGTACACCACGCCTCATGAAATCCCACTCCCGCAAATAAGTCGTGGCGACAAGATCCGTCACAAAGACCAGCACCGCGAGAAGCTGCAATAATGCGGCGAGCAAGGCCGCTGCTGCTGCTCGTTCCTCTCATCGTCACCTTCGTCGTCTTCATCCTCGTGCTTCTCGCCCTCTTGGCGAATGCGTATAACGAGCGGTGCGTTGTGCAACATGCTCCAGCGCTTGATACTATACCGCATGAATCTCTACGCGGAGACTTCTTCAAGCGCGAGCCCCGGGGGACCTGCTCGGGGTCGCCCGAGGGGCCCGGCGCGTTGCGTATGCTTGCGCAGCGCGCTGCACATAATGCCCAGGCTGCTGCGGCTGGAACAGAGGGCATCCTACGCACACGTGTGCCATCAGACGTGCGCAGCTCTGGTCCAGGACTTGCGCTGGCCACTGGCAGTCCGGGCTCCACTCACAGCCAGCTCGATGCCCGCTCAGCAGCGCCGTGCTCATTCGAGGGACGAGTCCTCCCGTTCATCGTGCTCCTTCGCCCCGTGCGCGCTCGCCCTCCTCTTCGCGCTCCTCCTCCTGCCAAAGGACGTGCGCCCCTCCTCAGGCCTTCTTGTCCTGTCCCTGCTGCTGCCGCTTCCCCCTTCCGTCGTCCTACATCCTCCTCCGTCCTGTGTGTCTTCCTCCTCCTCCTCCTCCTCCTCATCATCATCATCACCATCACCATCACCATCATCATCATCATCATCATCATCATCATCATCATCATCATCATCATCATCGTCATCATCATCATCAGCATCATCATCGTCATCATCATCGTTGTCATCGTCGTCGTTGTCGTCGTAGTCATGATCATCATCATCATCATCATCATCATCATCATCATCAGCAGCAACAGCATCATCATCATCATCATTATTAGCAGCAGCATCATCATCAGCAGCAGCATCATCATCACCTCCTCCTCCACCTCCCCATCCTCCTGCTCCCCCTCCTCCTCCTCCTTCTCCTCCTCCTCCTCCTTCTCATCCTCCTCATCCTCCCCTAAGAAGGCCCCAAGAGTCTCAAGAGGGCCCCAAGACGGCCCTAAGAGCGCCCAAGAGCGCCCCAAGAGCGTCCCACGAGGGCCCCGCGCGGCAGTCTGCATCCTCCCTCCTCCTCCTCTCCTCCTCCTCCTCCTCCTCCTCCTCCTCCTCCTCCCCTCCTCCTCTCCTCCTCCTCCTCCTCCCCTCCTCCTCCTCCTCCTCACACCCTCCTTATCACACCCTCCTCCTCACGTCGTTTCGCTTTCTCCTCCCCTCCCGCCTCCTCCTCCCCGCGCCCCCGCCAAGTGCGACCTGACCGACCCGCTCCTGCCGGGCGGCACCTGCAGGGAGCTCGAGCGCTACCCGGAGCACCCGACGCCGGCGCCGACCGTCGGGGCGAAGGGCGACCCGCACCTGGTGAACCTGGCGGTGGGCGCCGTCCTCGCCCTCGCCCTCGCCGCCCTTCGCCGCCCCTCGTCCCTCCTCGCGCCGTGGGGGTCGCTCCTCGCCCTCGTCCTCCCAGCTCCTCGTCTCCCAGTCGCCCCTCCTCGCCCCTCCTCGTCCCTCCTCGGGTGCACCCACGGGCCCCCAGTGTTCCCCCATCTGCCCTCGCGTGCTGCCCAGAGCTGGCCCCTCGGCCTTTCGGAGGCTCTGGAGGCCCCTCGCCGCAAAGGAGTTGCCCTGGGTGAACCCCTAGCTTGAATCCTCCTCGTCTTCCCAATGCACGCCCCTCCTCGCCATCGCCCTCGCCGCGCTCCTCTCTCCCCTTCTGCATCGCCGTGCTCCTCCCTTCCTGCTCTGATCCCTCCTTTTTCCTCCTACCTCCTCCCTCGCTGCCGTCCTCGTCATCCTCGTCCCCGTCCTTGTTGTCGTTGCCGCCTGCCTGCAGTTGCTGCTGCTGCTCCTCCTTCTCCACCTCATCCTTCCTCCTCCTCCACCTCCCTCCCTCCTACTCCTTCCTGTTTCTCCTCCTCTTGCTCCTCCTCCTCCTCGTTCCTCCTTGCTCCTTGCTCCTTCCTCCCTCTTCTCCTCCTCTTCCTCCTCATCCTCATCCTCCTCCTCCTTCCCTGCCCTGTTGGGGGTGCGTGCGCGTTTAAGGCGCCAAGGTGGGGCGGGGATCTCGTTTCTCCTCTCTCATATGTCGGCCTCTGCGCAAACACGCGTCCGCTCCTTTGTGTCGTCTCTCTTATCTTCCTCCTTCGAGGGCGAGCACTTCGACATTAACCACGGGGGCAGGTTCATGCTGCTTCGCCTGCCCCAGGCTGCCGACCAGGCCGCCGACGTAGAGGTCAACGCCGTCGTCACCCCGGAGTGGGGAAAGCCCTGCATCACGTACATCACGCAGGTGGAGCTCTCAGGCCAATCGAGGAGGAGGAGGAGAATGAGGAGGAGGAGGAGGAGGAGGAGGAAGAGTTGGAGGAACAGGGGTAGGAGTCAAGTCAGCCAGGTTGAACGATTCAGCGGGCCCCGCCCGGCTCCACTAGTTTCCTCAGAACGTAAGAGCCAATTGTGGCGTGACAGGGCATTGGAATTAGCGCGCGTTGCCCCCAGCGAGCGGAAGACGCTCGCGCGCGGTCTCGTTTCCGGCGGTTTGGCGAGGGGGAAGGCGCGGGCTGGCGCACGGGCGCGAGCGCACCTCGAGCGAATATTTGCGCGGTGCTGCAGCTGGAGTACCATTCAGCCTTCTCTCGCACGGCCGAATTTCCGATGAGCGCGGCGAGGACGAAGTATGCGCGGCGCCGGAGTTGCACTGTCAGTTTCACGAAAACTTTGCGCCGAGCTTGGGCGAGAACAACACGTCGTCCGCTCTCTCGCGCGGCTCCGCTGCTGCTGCCGCCGTTCCCGCGACTCGTCGAGCAAACGGCATGCGCCGCGCACGAACAGCAACCAGACGTTTCCGTGGGATCTTGGATGCTTCCCAGTCTCGGCGCCCTGGATCCCGGACGGCGAACCCAGGAAAAACGTCAACGTGACGTTCTCTTGGGTCCGTCGTGCCAGAAGACACGCGCGAGGAGGATCCAGGTGCTTCCTAGAAGCACCCGGATCCTCCTCGTGCGTGTTTTTTTGTCGCGCACGGCGCGGGGAGACCCGGGGGGGGGAAGGAGGGGGAGGAGGAGGAGGAGGGGAGGAGGAGGAAGGAGGAGGAGGAGAAAGGAGAAAGAGGAGGAGGAGGAAGAGGAGGAGGAGGAGGGCCCTCCTCCCAGGCAAGTGGCTCGACGGCAAGAGGCTGCAGGTGCGCTGCTTCCTGCGCGAGCGCGAGGGGGCCGACGGCGCCGAGGGGGGCCAGGGCGGGCAGCTCCTCGGCATCCGCACGCTCGACCGCGGCGACGAGGAGGACTCCCAGGGAGGAGGAGGAGGAGGAGGAGGAGGAGGAGGATGAGGAGGAGGAGGAGGAGTGACTAGAGAAAGGAGGAGGAGGAGAGAGGAGGAGGAAGAGGAGGAGGAGGAGGACGAGGAGGAGGAGGAGGAGGAGGACGAGGAGGAGAGGGGCGGGAGGAGGCGAGGAGGAGGAGGCGGAGGAGGAGGAGGAGGAGGAGGAGGAAAATGGTAATGGGGAGGAGGACGAGCAGGATGACGATGATAATGACGATGACGATGAGTTTGATGATGATGATGATGATGATGATGATGATGATGATGATGATGATGATGATGATGATGATGATGATGATGATGATGATGGCGATGATGACGATGATGACGATGATGATGATGCTGATGATGCTGATGATGACGATGACGATGACGATGACGATGACGATGATTTCGATGATGATGATCATGATGATGATGCTGATGGTGATGATGATGATGATGATAGTGATGATGATGATGATGATGATGCTGATGATGATGATGATGATAATACTAATGAGGATGCTGATGATGATGATGATGATGCTTCCGTTGATGATGGCGATGATGGTGATGATGGTGGTGGTAGTGGTGGTGATGATGATGCTGATGATGCTGATGATTATGAGGAGGAGGAGGAGGACGAGGATGAGGACGAGGATGAGGATGATGAAGAGGAGGAGGAAACGGAGGACGAGGATGAGGGTAACGATGGTGATGGCTATGGTCATGATCGTGATGATGATGATGATGATGATGATGAGGAGGATGATGATGATGAGGATAGTGATGGTGACGGTGTCGGTGATGGTGATGGTGATCATGATCATGATCATCACCATGATGATGTTGAGGAGGAGGGGGAGGAGGAACAACAGCGGTAATGAGGATGATGATGAGGAGGAGAAGAAGGAGGAGGACCACTGTGACCCCAAGACGCATCAACGATGTTGCGATTAATCGTCGCTCCAACTTCCTTCGTCATAAGTCCGTACTAGAAACTTTCATTACGGGGAGGAGTCCTTGGAAAGATAAGCGTTCGATATTTCTGACCCGTGCTTAAGCAGAGCTCCTGGGACTCCAATGCCACGAATCACATGTTCACTGGTGCACCCCGACAACCACAGATCATGCCAGAAGCCCAGTCGTGGGACTTCAATACCGCTGATCAGCGTGACTAGTGCATCCCGACGGTCCTAAATCGTGCCAGAGCGCCTGCTCTGGGATTGCAGCCATTCGAACCCGTGGGAATTTCAGCCATTCGCCCTTTGTACGATTTCAGCCATACCAGCGCGCGCGCGGCGCTAAAACTAGAGCCACATTTGGAAAGGAACCACCCTCCATCTTTGATATGGTTACACACGTGTAAAACGAATGTGCTTGCCGCTATAGTCCGAGAGCCACATTCTGAAATCGGTCCGCCCTCCGTCTTTGAAACCGTGGCAGACTTCAAGCTTCAGGATCATACATGGCGAGGGCGAAACGCCCTGCCCGCGTCTGGGGGTGGGATAGGGAGGAGCTCTTAATCAGGATAGAAGGGAATAACGAAGGCGGCTCAAGACGAAGACGAAGACGGCCCAATACTGACTGACACAAGATTGGGCGACATACACGTCTGACCACCAAACTTGTTTGAGTACACGCCCATGCCGATTGCCTCAGCTCTCGAATTTGGGTCGGGGATGTCGATGTCGGCGCTCACCTGTCTGGAGGCAGCGGCGCGCAATCATGGAGAGCACGCGGTCTGCGTGGCACTTGAACCGCTGTGCCAAACTAGGGCCTCGCGTATCAAACAAGCACCACACGGATTGTTCATGAAGATGCGGTCGCAAAGTCCCGAGATCACGACATCGGTAAAGCCAGTTCTGTGGTGTCATCGCCTTCAGGCTTGCAAGTCTCCCGCGAGCAGTTTCTCGCTTCCTGGCGAGCACCGCACGGTGCCAGTTTACCATAGTAGTGACAGCGGCATGCGTGTTCATTGCTTGCCTTCTGTAGTTCGTGTTCGCACCTCAAACGGCAAACACGTTGGCAGTTTATGCAGCAGCTCACCTGAGGAAGTTGGAACGAAAGGATGTACACCGCTCCGACATGTCGGAGACTGGTGCCAGTCGTGAACTATCCGTGTCCTGTGACCAGCCGACGAGTCTTGCCAAAACGGGAAAGTCTACACAAACAAGTGTTGACGATCCAGGGTGCAAAGTGCACATGAAAGCACGGTAGAACCAAGTGGTCGAAGAATCGGCCTTGCAAGGCACGTTGGAAACAATCGTTGGTCCAACAGTTGGGGATCTCTTGGAGGTGTTCAAAAAAGTTCCCCTCGACGATGTTTCGTGCCAGGTTCTGCTGAGACCTCAGGTCCGTTGGAAGATGGAGGCGATCGGCGAAGACTGCGACCTGAAGCCTGTGGCGGTCCGATGAGGCTTCGGCACTCCGGGAGAACCCCCAAGTGTCGAAAACTCAGAGCTGAGGTGATCCCATGAAGAGATTCGATACTCCAGATTTCGTAATAAAGGGAGGGGGGTCTCATTTCGGGGGGGGGGTCTCTTCCAGGCTATCTTGGAGGGCCTGGGGGGTCTGGGGACGATGTTTTGGAGGGTTCTCCCACGGGGGAGGTCTGAAATGGCTTGTCTTGGAGGGTCCAGACCCCCTCCCTTTTATTACGAAATCTGGAGTAGCTGTTGCCATGCAGTCGCATCCTCCTCCCCACCCTCTGCCACGCAACTGTGCTAGACTTTTGTTCCTGTGTTCTGCGAATGTGAGAACCAACGAGATCCGACCTGCTTCAATCCTGCATCACGCGCTCGCCACCTTGCCATCGTTCTCGGCAGCTCTAGCGAACATGTCCCTCGCCATTGCGCCACCGCTGGGTCATTCGAGGACCGCACCCTCCTGCGCGCATGCGAGCGTCCGTCCGTCCGTCCGTCCGTCCGTCACTACGTCCGAAGAGAGCGATGGTGATGCTGACGATGATGATGATGAGTACGATGATGATGGTGATGTTGACGATGATGGTGTCGGTGGTGATGATGCTGATGCTGATGCTGATGCTGTTGATGAGAATGGAGATGATGATGATCCGGATGATAATTGGAATCATGATGTAGATGTAGATGATGATGTTGTTGATGATGATGATGACGGTGATGGTGATGGTGATGGTGATGGTGATGATGATGATGATGATGATGATGATGATGATGATGATGATGATGATGGTGATTATGATGACGATGATGGCGGACATGATGATGATGATGATGCTGCGGAGGAATATGGTGATGGTGGTGGTGGTTACGATGATGCTGACGGCGATTAGGATGACGATAATGATGACGACGAACATGTCGACGACGACGATGCTGATGATGATGTTGATGATGGTGATATTGATGACGATGATGCTGATAATGATGATGATGATGATGATGATGATGATGATGCTAGTGATGTGTCTGCTGCTGATGATGATGATGATGATGATGATGGGGGTGATGATGATGACGACGATGATGTTGATGATGATGCCGATGATGGTGTTGCTGATGATGATACTGCTGCTGACGGTGGTGCCGTTGATGGTGATGATGGCGATTATGCTCATGACGATGATGATGTTGCTGATGATGATGTCGATGATGATCACGACGATGATGGTGATGATGATACTGGTGATGACGATGATGTTGGTGGTGGTAGCGACGCTGATGATGATGTTGCTGATGATGACGGTGCAAACGGCGATGATGGTGATGATGTCGATGTTGATGATTGTGCTAAGTATGCTGGTGATGATGGTGATGATGTTGATGATGATGTTGCTGATGATGCTGATGATGCTGATGATGATGATGTTGATGATGATGGTGATGATGCTGATGATGATGATGCTGCTGATGATGATGATGATGCTGACATTGTTGATGATGATGGTGGTGATGAGGAAGATGGGGAAGAGGAGATGGAGAGGAGGAAGGAGGAGGAAGCGGAGAAGGACGAGGAGGAGTTGGATGAGGAGGAGGGGGAGGAGTAAGAGGACATGGAGAGGAGGAGGAGGAGGAGGAGGAGCAGGAGGAGGAGGAGGAGGAGGAGGGGGAGGAGGAGGAGGGATAGGGGGGAGAACGAGGAGACAGAGGAGCAGTAGGAGGAGAAGGAGGAGGAGGAGGAGAAGTGGGGAATGGGCAGGAGAGATGGTGGAGGAGGTGTCAGGGCTCAGCGGGATCCGCGAAAAGGCTGCTGCAAGTAGCGTGCAGAGTGCGGAGGAATGAGGCGCAGGAGGAGGCGCAGGAGGAGGAGGAGGAGGAGGAGGAGGAGGAGGAGAACGACGACGAGGAGGAGGAAGCGGAACAGCAGGAATAGAAGGAGGAGGAGGAAGAGGAGGAGGAGGAGAAGCAGGAGGAGGAGGAGGAGGAGAAGGAGGCTTCTGCGTATGAGTATGAGGAGCAACAGGAGTCTGAATATGAGTCTGAAGAATACGAGGTTGCGTATGAGTATGCACATGTGCATGAATGCGAGTACGCTTACGAGTATCAGTATTGTACTGGGTCTGAGTACGAGTTAAGTATGGGTATGGGTGTGAGTAGGAGTGTGAGCATGAGTATAAACATGCGTATGGGCACGTGACACAGGCAATGTGGATGAGGAGGAGGGGACGACGAGTTGGAGGAGGAGGGGAGACCCCCCAAAATGGCTACGAAAAGAGGGGGACGAGGGGAACGGAGGAGGAGGGTGAGGAGGAATTGTAAAAAGTGAGGAATTCTCTCAATCGTTACAGCGCACGGTAGTGTTATTTTCAAGTGTGTTTGTTTCTTCCTTTATTGTCAGACGTAGACGGCACGATATTTCTATCTTCGATTGAGCATGTCTTCGTCTGATCCTTCTTCTTGTATTTTGTCTTATGTTCTTCTTATGTTCGTGCCCCTTCGAGGGTCAAGGAGGAGCTGGAGGAGGAGCATCAGGAGCAGGAGGAGGATCAGAGGAGGATCAGGAGGAGGAGGAGGAGGAGGAGCAGAAGGTCCAGGAAGAGGAGGAAAAAGAGGAGGATCAGGATGAGGAGGTCAATGAAGAGGAGTATGATGAGAAAGAGGAGCTCACTTAAACGTAAGAGCGCATGGTGACGTTTCTTCTGACCGTGTGCGCCTTCTTCCAGACCTCCTTTGAGGATCAGGTCCCGTGGATCAACATGACCGACTTCCCGGAGGAGAGCCACCTGTCCCACCCCGACTCCGAGGTGGAGGTCAGGCTGATCAAGACCCAGTGGTTCCCGAAGAGCCCGAAGAAGGCGGCAGGAAACCCGGGCGTCGCTGGGCAGTTTCAGTTCAACCTGAGGGACAAGCGGAACTCGGATGCCGCCAAGGCCTCTTCCTCCCTCTTGTTCGGCGGCGGGCGAGGGCGCGGGGGGGGGGGAAGGCCTTCTCAGAAGGCGGCGGGGCCTCTCAGACGCCCTGCGGCCTTCTGAGGAAGTCTCCCGTGCCTACGGGGCAGGCTCAGGGCCTTCTCAGCAGGCCTGGGGAACTCCCGGGCCTTCCGAGAAGGCCCGCGGCCCGCCCTTTCTCACTTCCCCCCTGGGCTCGCCGCCGATATGTGTCTCCTCTCTCCTCTCTCCTCCGCCGTCCCTCGCTTTCCTTGCCCCACCTGCCCTCCCTCCGTCTCTCGTCCCCTCTCCTCCCTCGTCCTCCGCGCCCCCCTGGCCTCCCTGCCTCGACGCAGGAGGTTTCCGAGCGAGAGCGCTCGAGGAGGAGAGCAGATGCAGAGGCTGCCTCTGTTGCTCGCGCGCTGCCCTCTCCCTCGGGCCTCTTCGGCCCCTCCCACGTCGCACGTCCCATCAGCGCGTCGGAATGCTGCCAGCGCTGTGCAGCTTGCACGAGCTCGGCTGCGGATGGCACCGAGGCTGAAGGGGTCCGCAGTCAGCGTTCTCAGCTCGGAGTCTTCTTGAGTCAGACTCCCGGGGTACCTCAAGGGCGTCGTTCCATTGTCGCTGGGGGTCGGGCGCGCGAGTTGACCGTTGCGAGGAGATACCAGCTCGACCCCCGTTCCAAACGGTCATGGGCATTCATTAAGCACTCTGGCCCTGTTCGATACCATATTTAGGCACATGTGCTACAACGGCGCTCGTAGGTGTGCTTATGATGAGGGTGGCTCTTTTGCCCGCTGGTGAAAGTGCACGACGGCCCGAACCTGTGGTTGTGTGGTAAACGCGAGTGTGACAGCAGATTAGCTCATACAGGTACGGTCAGGGATGTAAGCTCAGTGTGTCGCGCCGCCAGTTCTGGCCCATCACGTTTCGGCAACGACGTGCCAGGCACGTTCTATTCCTCAAGCTTCAGCGCTCCAAGCTTGTCCCAAACCCCTCGTCCCAAGGAGCGGGGCGACACGCCATCGCTTGGCGTCTCTCGGATGTGTGCATGTTTCTCGGCGGGGACCATCGAGGAGCCTCCTGGACCCCCTGGGCCAACAAAAGCACGCACGAGATCGACAACTCCTCGGGAGCATCGACGTCCGAGCGATGGCGAGTGTCGGGGAGCTGCGTGCCGCAGGGGCCGCCGCTGCGGCACGCCCAGCAGCAGTTTCTGACCGCATGCCCCCCCCCCCCCCCAATCGGGCTAGGATGGCGATCCCCGGGGTGAGCCGCTCGCGGTCTTGGGGCGCAAGAGTCGACTAGACGTAGGAGTGACCTTTCGCCGGAGTGACCTTTGGTGCGGGCACAGCTGGGCCCTCAGATGGCTGAGAAAACGAAGCAGCAGCAGCGGCTTGCGCGCCCAGGTTTGGCCCCCCCGCGGCACCCAAAAAGTCGCGCACCAAAGGTCACTCTTGCCCAGGGTCACTCTTGCATATAGCCGAAAGAGGCGGGTGTCACTTCAAACGGTGGTCAGTCATAGCCGCGGATCTTGGAGGATCCTGCAGGGCCAGGGGTGCACTGACCCAGGCGTGGGCGCAGGATCTCGCAGGGTCCTGCTGGACTTTGCAGGATCCTGCGAGGCCCGACGGACCTGGGTCTGCCCTCTCAGAAGGCGACGGGGCTTATCAGAAGCCCTCGCGACAGGGCTTCTCGGATTTTTGTTCTCGGAAGCCACGGTCGGCTTCTCAAAAGAGGCGCGAGGCCTTCCGAGAGCCCCCGCCGCCTTCCGAGGAGGCTTTTCACCTCCCCCCTCTCTCGCTTCCCTTCTTGGGCTCGCCTCCGATCGTCCTCTCCCCCTCCATCCTTCAGAGCCAGATCCTTCGGTGGCAAATCATGGGAGCCTGGTATACCCTCTCAATTCCGTCTCTAGCGTCGACCAGCGTCGATTGTCGCTCGGAGTCGATGAGACAGCGCCGAAGTAGCGCCGATCAGCGTCGACCTAGCGTCGATTTAGCGTCGATGGGCGCCGCTTCGCAAGAGGCGACAAGATGGCATGGGAGGCTCCCGTGAGTTGCCACCGAAGAACCAGACCCCAGACCCCTCCCTGGGGCCACCCGGGACAGCTCCTCCTCCCCCCCCCGATGTCTGACGGCCCCGAGGCACCCCCGGGGGCCCACGGCGGCCCCCCGGATATAGGAGGCCGAGGCTGGCGAGAGAAGGCCACCCTTCCGAGCCGCGGACCTCGGACCCGCGAGGGCCCTCCCCCGGGGAAGTCCCCAGAGCCACGGCGATCCAAAGAGGTCGGAGCGGGCGGACGTGGGCTGATTTCGGCCTCCAGGGGCCCTCACCGGGCCTCGGGGGGCCGTCCAACAACGCGACGCGTCGACGAGAAACCGGCCCTGTAGGGAAGTGGTCCCGGCCTCCAGCCCAGAGATCCGATGTCGTGTTTTTCCCAACCATCCTGTGGTGTTGGGTCCTCGTTTTGAAGAGACGGCGCCCCGCGTTCCTCACCTCCTCCTCCTCCCCCCCCCCTCCCTCCTCCCATCATCATCATCATCATCATCATCATCATCATCATCATCATCATCATCATCATCATCATCATCATCATCATCATCATCATCATCATCATCATCATCATCATCATCATCATCATCATCATCATCATCATCATCATCATCATCATCATCATCATCATCATCATCATCATCATCACACCGATTTCGGCACACCCCTCACTCTTTCGTGGCCCCATAGGGAGTCTTCAGGGGCAGTCACACGTTTCAGCTGGCCCCATCATGCTCACCAACCGGCCCCAGTGGCAGGGTCCGCATGCCTCCCCACCACCCATTTCGGCACACCCCTCACACGTTTCGTGGCCCCAGGGAGCTCCACCGAAGGCCCCAGTGGCAGGGTCCGCATGCCTCCCCACCACCCATTTCGGCACACCCCTCACACGTTTCGTGGCCCCATAGGGAGCTCCACCGAAGGCCCCAGTGGCAGGGTCCGCATGCCTCCCCACCACCCATTTCGGCACACCCCTCACACGTTTCGTGGCCCCATAGGGAGCTCCACCGAAGGCCCCAGTGGCAGGGTCCGCATGCCTCCCCACCACCCATTTCGGCACACCCCTCACACGTTTCGTGGCCCCATAGGGAGCTCCACCGAAGGCCCCAGTGGCAGGGTCCGCATGCCTCCCCACCACCCATTTCGGCACACCCCTCACACGCTTCGTGGCCCCATAGGGAGCTCCACCGAAGGCCCCAGTGGCAGGGTCCGCATGCCTCCCCACCACCCATTTCGGCACACCCCTCACACGTTTCGTGGCCCCATAGGGAGCTCCACCGAAGGCCCCAGTGGCAGGGTTCGCATGCCTCCCCACCACCCATTTCGGCACACCCCTCACACGTTTCGTGGCCCCATAGGGAGCTCCACCGAAGGCCCCAGTGGCAGGGTCCGCATGCCTCCCCACCACCCATTTCGGCACACCCCTCACACGTTTCGTGGCCCCATAGGGAGCTCCACCGAAGGCCCCAGTGGCAACGTTCGCATGCCGCCCCCACACCCATTTCGGCACACCCCTCAAACGGTTCGTGGCCCCATAGGGAGATCCACCGAAGACGGTACTCACACCAGCATTACTCACAACTGCATATGGTTGGGTCCTTCGCCAGGCTAATTTTCAATGCGGGGTCCCAGGAAGTCCCGACCCCTTCCCCAGGGGCCCTCACCGGGCTGTGGATCGAGGCCAGCCAGGATTGTGTATGTGCGCAGCCTGGGCCGGGCGGCCTCAGCACCTCAGTCCTGGGGCGCGGAGCGCCCCAGGCATACGCCGCCAGAGGCGGCGCCGAGGCGCCGAGAGCCTCCCAGGCTGTCCGGGGGGGCCTGTGGAGGCCAGCCGGGGCAGAGATCCAACGCATTGACAAAAATCAAGACGGAGGTTTTGTGCTATTTTCGGCCTCTGGAGGCCCTCGCCGGGCCTCGGGACCGTCAAAAAACGACTCAGGATGAAGAACCGACCCAGGGGAAAGGGTCGGGACTTCCCCGGACCCCGTATTGAAAACATCACGACATCGGATCTCTGGGTCTGTGCGCAGCCCGCAGCCCCACCGGTCCTCCCGCCTCGCGCCCCTTCGGCTCCCGAGGTCGTCATCCGCCAGGACTTGCCGGCCCAGGAGCACCTGAACATGGCGGTGCGGCGCCTGAGCGTCCTGGGCCGTGCGGACCTGCCGCCGCCGCCGCTCCTCGCCCCCCTCCCTGTCCTCCTCCTCCTCCTCCTCCTCCTCCTCCTCCTCCTCCTCCTCCTCCTCCTCCTCCTCCTCCTCCTCCTCCTCCTCCCCCTCCCCCTCCCTGAGATCCTGGCCACTGCACTGTTTCGAGCTGGGCGTTTTCGCCTTCTTTCGGGCCCCGGGCCCTCACGGCTCGAGCCGGCTCGAAGCGTGACGCCGAAGGATGGGCTCTGGGGCTCTGGGCGCGGTTTCTCACGATGTTGCAATGTTTTTTCGCTGTGTACGTCGGATCTTAGGGCCCGCCGCCCCTGCCTGGCAGACGCTGCTCTGCCCTCTGCCGAAGGGCGTGCGGTCAGCCCGCGCACGAGCTGGAGGAGGAGGAGCCGGCGTACACAGCGATTCAACGGATGCGGAGGATGGTGTACGGAATTCACCTGGGCGCCCCCTCCATCCCTGCATGCGCTTCAACGGCGTATCGAACGTGCGGAAGATAGTTCCCCTGGGTTGGATGGCCTCCCCTATCGTGCATGGAAACGACATCCACACGGTCTTAACATTCTAGATGAGGTGGTCTGGTGGTTATTAAGTGGGAGGAGCATGTTACCAGCATTCAATGATGTTCGAGGAGTATTCATAGCCAAAGGAGATGAGGAGCAGGATTCCCATATGATCGTTCGGAACGCTGAAGCTACCCGGCCTCTAGGACTAAAACAATCGTCGAACAAGCTGGTCACGGGCGTCGTTCTCGAGAGTTTATCCCGTCGACTGGGTGATAAAGTCCATTATTCTCAAAGGGGATTCGTCGGAGGGAGGAATTTTGGTCTAAATATTCTCGAGCTCGACGTGCGAGCCCGAATGGTTTCGATGCTCCCCGATGCCGCTGCTCGGCTTCCAGCCTTGATATCGTTCGATTATGGACAGGCCTTCCCGTCGGTCGCGCACCGATGGATCATGATGACGCTTGCTGCCTTCCATGTGCCGCTGCCCATGCAGATCTTCGTAGAGACGTTGTACACGAACGTTCGCTGCTTTGGCACTTTCGGCAGAGTATGCTGTTTCTTGTTTTACATCATGTCGGGGATCATTCAAGGATGCCCAGGGTCTGGCGCCCTTTTCGCCGTCGGGAGCCACCCCTTCCTCGTGGATATGTGGAAACGGCTGGAAGCTCAGAATGATGTGCCACCTGGCGAGCTGCGAGAAGATCTCATAGGTCGAGCTCGAGAACGCCAGATGAGTATGGCAAGGGCTTGTGCTGATGATATTGGATCTGTGGTTTCAGCGCTTCGTGATCTTCTTCAACTGAAGGCCGTATTCGACTGCAGTGAGGCCCTTGCGTGTCTCAAGCTCAAGTATGCCAAGTGTTTCCTGGTTCCTCTTGCGGGCCCCTTCTCGGCCACCCTCGTCGCCAAGTATCGATTCTGGCTTCAGAACTTTCTCCCCGACTGGGGAGCGTTCCAGGTTGTGAGTTCCCTGACCTATCTTGGCATGATTCTTGGGCCCAGCGTGACCACTGAGAGCTGGCACAAGCTTCTTTTGAAATGGGCAGGACGTACAGTGCAGATTGCCAGAGTCGGCGCCCCGCCGGCCATCACTGAGTATATGTACTCTAGCCGTGCCGTCTCAACCCTTACCTATGTCGCCCAATTCTGTCCCATCCCTGAGCTTTGCCCTGCCCTTCCCGCCCCTCTCTCTCGTGTTGAGCATGCCTCCTTCGCCTCTCTCTTCAAAGTCCCCCACTGCACGCTTCCACGGAGTGGCTGGTTCTCGCTTCACCTGTGGGGAGGACCGCAACTCACGAGCGTGAGGTCCTTGAGCTGTGCCACGCTAATGAGAGCTGCTGTCAACACGTTCCCTGAATATCGAATGCTCTTGGACCAGCTGTCTGAGTTTGCTTCTCGCCATCTCGAGATCGTTGATCTCTCGGCTGGGAAGCTGTCCCCGCGCTTCTGGCAGTCACCAGCGTTTGTGGAGCATCTCTCGGATGCGGCAGGTGGCTTCTCTCGCTCTCGGGACCTGGCTCGAGCTGGATCGATCGCCCGTGCTGCTGCGCTGGAGCTCTTGACCTCTGCCTCCGCCCTCCCTCGCCCCCCTAAGAATGTGAAGATGCAAGGTAGACTGCTGAAGATTTTCCAACGGGAACTCTTCCCTGATTCCCTGGACGTTGTTTTCTCGGAGCGTTGGGCCCGTTGGTTTCCTGAGGCCGCGGAGGTCCTGGTGCACGTGAAATGGGAAGAGGTCCGTGAGCTTCTCATTCGAATGAGAGGCCCTTTAGTGAATGCGATATGGAAGACTCTCTCTGGTAGTTGGATCACAGCCGTGCGATTTCACGACAGTGAACCCTTATGCTGTCTGCTGGGCTGCGGCGGCCCTGACAGCTTTGTCCACTATTGGTGCTGCCCACGCTTCATCCAGCTTCTCGAATCTGTTTTGTGCTCCCAAGTTCATTACTGTCCGATCTGTCGCTCTGGTGTTTTTCTCCCGACCATCTCTAGTCTTACCGTCCCCGCTGCTGCCTATCTCCTGTTTGTGAATCTCCGCTCGCTCTTCCTGCCACCTGAACCTCTTACATTAGAGGTGGCACAGTCTGCTGTACCCCTCACGAGGGTCCAGCTCACGCGGGCGAGGGTGCGCGGCGGCCAGCGCGGATGAGGGACACGTGGCGCGCAGCTACGTGCGAGGAGGAGGAGGAGGAGGAGGAGGAGGGAGGAGGGGTGGAGGGGAGGAAAAAGGAGATGGAGGAGGAGGGGAGGAGGAAGGAGGAGGAGGAGGAGGGAGGAGGAGGGAGGAGGGAGGAGGGAGGAGGGAGGAGGGAGGAAAACGAGGAGGAGGAGGAGGAGGAGGAGGAGGAGGAGGAGGAGGAGGAGGTCGGATCGGGCCGGCGGCGGCGGCGGCGTGCCGACCCAGGCCCCGCCGCGTCGTGGGCGGAGTCGCGGCGGACGCGTCGGTTCCCGACGTGCGGCCTCCGGGGGCCCTCGCCGGGCCCGGAGCCGCCGAGAGCGGCTCGGGATGCGAACTTCAAGGGAGGGAGGCCCAGATATGATCGCGTGGTAAAACAAAAATCAGGACGGCGGTGTTTCGCCGTGTTCGGCCCCTAGCGGCCCTCGCCAGGCCCTGGGACCGTCAACAACCGACTCAGGATGAAAAAGCGGTCCCGGGGAAAGGGTCTGGACTTCCGGGGACGCCGTCCTGGAAAAATCAGGACGTTGCATGACGACCAGTGGCGTTTACTGAAGGACCCTGGCCGTTTACTGCACAGCCCTGCCCTGTTCGATTCCCCCATTGGCTGCGTTGGCTACACGGCTTCGCTTGCTGGGGTGCTTATGATGGGGGTGGCTTTTCTGCTCCGAGGGTCGACGCTGTGAACAAATCAGGACATCGGGGGGGGGGGCACCAAGCGTGGGGTGGTGATCGAGGGTTGCAGGGGAGCGGCCTCGTGGGGGCCCTGAAGGGGCCCCCAAGCTGCCACCGCTGGCCCGAAGAGGCGCCCCAACGGTGCACGTTTCTTCACCCCTTGCTCATTACACACCAGGTCTGCTGGTTGTGGAGGAGGAGGAGGAGGAGGAGGAGGAAGAGGAGGAGGAGGAGGAGGAGGAGGAGGAAGAGGAGGAGGAGGAGAAGGAGGAGGAGGAGGAGGGGGGAGGATACTCTCGCCCTCGAGGGCCACAATTCTAATTATTTATGCTTGTCTCTTTGCCTTTCTTTTTCTGCACCCGTCCGCGGCCGAATTCGTTTGTTGGCACTAGATCAGCACGCAACAAGCTAGCTCCGAATGTCCGAGCAACGCAACAAAAAAGAGGAGGACGAGGAGGAGGAGGAGGAGGAGGAGGAGGAGGAGGAGGAGGCACCACCCGTAAACGAACACCCGTTCGCGCGGATACCTCGGGCAGGCGCCTGGCTCCCCGGTCGGTGCCCCTTCCGCCGGCCCGAGACATCCATGCGAACCCCTGAAAGCTGACGCTGGTGCGTGTTGTCTCTTCCGCTGGCCGTCGTGGGGTGCCCCTCTGTTGGGGTCGGCCGCGCTGGGGCGGCAGGCCTCGATTTCCCGGGGGGGTGGACGCACCCGATGGCGTTTTTCCTTTCTCCTCCTCTCGCCTCCTTCCTCCCTCCTCCCTCCTCCCTCCTCCTCCTCCTCCTCCTCCTCCTCCTCCTCCTCCTCCTCCTCCTCCTCCTCTTCCCCTTCCTCCTCCTCCTCCTCCTCCTCCTCCTCCTCCTCCTTCTCCTTGTCCTCCTCCTCCTCCTCCTCCTCCTCCTCCTCCTCCTCCTCCTCCTCCTCCCCCTCCTCCTCCCCCCCGCGGCTCCAGCCAGGCACGGCCTCTCGGGGCGGCTGGGAGCAGCCCGGCCCACGGGCAGGGCGTCGGGGCCAACAAAGGCGGGGGAGAGAGCGCGCGCGATACGCCGCGAGCTGCTGCTCGCCGTGGGCACTGCTTCGATCTACGGGCGGAGGCTCGCCGTCTGTCGGAGGAGGAGGCCCAGGCATGCTCGCGCCTTGAACAAATCAGAACCCGGAGGTGGACAGACCTCCTACCCTGACACGTCGATTGAGGAGTTTGCCGCTTTCGGCTCACGAGAGGGCGTCGCGGCCGTCATTTTTGCGGGTCCAGGTCCGTCGGTTTCGGTCCCAGGCCGTTTTCGCTAAGGGGAGGTGTGCTAAAGGGAGGTTTGTCCACCGCCGAAGGACTGTGAGGTGTTTCGCCGTTCTCGGCCCCTGGACCACAGGCGAGGAGAGGGGCGAGTAGCCCAGGGGAGAGCAATACATGTATGCGGGTGCGCCGGTGATCTGTGTCATTGAAAAGGCTCACGGGCGGATGCGTGTAATGCCCGCCCCTGGGCTATTCGCCCCGATTGTCGCCCCGATGCGGGTGCGCCGATGATCTGTGTCATTGAAAAGGCTCACGGGCGAATGCGTGTAATGCCCGCTCGCCGCCGACTGGAGGCCCTCGCCGGGCCTGGGGACCGTCCAAGAACGATTCTGGATGAGAAACCGGTCCCGGGGGAAG